GCGGCTGCCCCCCTTCACCAGCTGCTCCGTGGGCCTACGGCCAAGGTGAGCTGCTGTCCTGGCCCGAGGGCTCTGCACCCCCCCTGTCGCCCTCAGTCTCTGCAGCACGGCTGGCAGCCTCCAGCTTCCTTCTCTTCTTCAGATGGTGCAGGTGGGATTTGGATCGTGTGTGAGCTGGAGGAAGAGGCAAACAGAGCGTTTAACCCTGGGGAACTTGGAGATGGGATCGCCTGATCCGATCCCCCCGTGCGGTGCAGAGCATCCTCCCTTCCCATCCTCCCGCACAATTCATTCCCGCAGAAAAGTGAACTCCCGAGCCCTGCCCTGGCCATTTCTCAGGACATTTCTAGGCCAAACTATTGGGGCTCAAAGGAGGACAACCCTTCCAAGCCTTCTCTCGACTTCAGAAAGGACTGGGAGAGGGAAGAAACCTGGCTCTGTGTATGCAGAACACTCCAGACTGTCAGGATCCAGCTCTCCCAGCAAGCCTGCTCCCAAGCGAGCCACGCCGCCGGGAGGACGGGAGAAAGGAAAGCGTTACCAAAGAGGTGGCACGCTGCAGGACACAGGCGAGGTTGTGCAACGACCCGCCACCCCACGGAGCGCTGCCAGGATCATTTGTAAGCCTGGATACCTGCACCACAGCACTGGGGATATCCTGTACATCTACAGAGCGGATCAGGACGGAGCCCGGAGCACAGTTCTGCTTTTGCATAACTCCAGGGCAAGGCTCCCAGCTACGAGAGCACTTTAGCCGGAGAAGGCGTAATCCCCGGGATGCAACTTGTACTGACGTGGCAGGGCAGCAGAAGCTGCATTTCTGTTTGCAATCACATAGTTAAGGACAGCAAAACCTCCTGTATCCGTGGCATTATCTCAGCAGGGCGGTTTTCCTATTTCCAAGAGATCAGCGCAGCAATTAAAGCAGCAAAGTTTTCAAGCAGGGCCCTAATTAAACAAGGGTATGTGCTCACTGAATCAAGGCCCTCAGGTGTTTTCCAGTCCTCCTTTTCTGCCAAAGGATGAAATTACATGCAAAGCTGCTGCTTTATCACAATGCTGTAGGGTCACCCTCAGCTTGAGACAAAGTCTCACCTTTTACAGTTTGTCTCAAGCAACACCAAAGCGCAGTGCCTGGGAGAAGCACCGATTGCTGCTGCTGTCTGGGGAGGTGTGCTCTTTTAAGTCCACGCAAATTGTAAAATCAGATAAAATTTTAAAATCTTCCAGCGCCAGCGGGGTGCTGGGAAGCAATTCCCAGAACTATCTGTAACTTAACTTCAGAAAACAGACCAGATTGCAGATCGACTCAGCTCCCACAACTGTTTTCATTTCCCTTTGAGCTTTTACATTTTGCTGTAGCAAGTAACACCCAGGTTTTGGACCACTTTTCTCCCACTGCCTAGGGATTTGAGCCAAATTCAGCTGGATGCAGAGAACAACAGCTGGTCTTGGTTGAGAAAGGTACTGTCATCATCTGTCAGAATTTGGGATGACATCCCTAGGGGGCATGCATGTGCAGCTGTAGTGTTTGGGGGGATCTTCAGGAGTTCCCACTCGCTCATAAAACTTGCTGGACCTGGAAGGAAGGCACAGAGTCTGATACCTTTGAGTCTCCTCTAGTTCTGGAGTAGGTAGAGCTCCTTCAAAGCACCTCCAAGCCGAGACAGCTGAGACTGGCTAAAATAACAGTTACAAACAGATCTCACTACAACGAGCTTCCTACTCTGAGCCAACTTCCATCTTGGCTTTCAGCAGTTCCTTGGATCAATAGGAAGAGGCGACTCGTTCAAATCCAACGACCAATGACCTGGGAAATTTATCTTTGCGTTGTGTCTGCATATAGTGCATTTGGGCCACGCATGGACACGTAAGAGTTTCATTTCTGCAGGCAGTTTCTTCACTACTTTTTGTTTCTGGTTCTCAGCGTGAGCCTCACAGCACAGATAAATTCACTGAGTTAATCTGATTCCAACTGAGCTCTTTTAAAGTAAGTCTATTGAAAATAGAAAATCCCTTTCTATTACCATTACAGCTAAGAATACTTCTTTTTTTAAAAAAAAAAAAAATCAAACAAATAGGAAATATTGGAGCAAAACCAAGCTATCAAAGACACTAAGAAACTTTCGGTTTACATAACAAAATTTTAGAAGAAACACATTTGTTCAGTGCTTTTTGACAAAGCATCTAAAGCACTGAAAAGGACCAGCAGCCCTGACTAAACACAGACAGCTCCGAGGCTCGATGCTACGTATAGATCCCCACGTCTGGCGTGACGGCAGAGCGCGGCGGTGTTTACTGGGTGCCGGGGAAGGGGGGGAAACCCGACAGATGGCTGCTGTGGCACAGCTCCTGCACCCCCTCTGGGCTTGCAAATGGCTGCTTTCATACATGGGCTGTAAACAATCCCTGAAAGCCCAAGATCATGTGCTGAGGGTCATCAGCCAAGCAAAGACAGCCAAGGAAGCTGCTCTGCTCCAGAGAACCGCCTCGCTCCATCCCTGCGCGTAACTGCGCTCGCTGTGCCCCCTGCCAGCCCCGCTCCTCGCCCCCTCCCCAGATCCTACCTGCCCACTCCCTGTCCCCGATGATGACTCTGTCGCAGAGCTCACACACGCGATGACTCCGTTTGTTCTCGTTTACGTCGTATTCCATCTTCACAGGCTCTGCTGGAGGCTCGCGTCCCTGTAGATTAAATGATGCCTCAGATTGGTTTCTACTATGAAAACGTGCTTGGCTGTGCTCCCTTTGGTGGAGTTTGGGCTCTGAACTTGTCATACTCAGACACTAAGGTGCCAGGACAGACACTGCAGTTTTACCATGCAAGACAAGCGCAGTACTGGGCATTAGGAGAAATTTTCAGCTTAGACAATGACCCTCTGCCACCATGGGGAAAGAAAGCCCAAGGTTGGACGTGTACACAGACCCTGCTCACAGGACACACTAAGCACCAAGTTGTGGGGCCTGGAGTCTCCCGAGGATTTGGCTTCTCAGCCACAGCTCACGTGTTAACCCCAGTTACCCTGTACCTGGATGAAGCTCTCCACAATCTCCAGAGCAGGTTTCAGCACATCCTCCTCCCACCGCAAGAGATCTGACACCTCCAAGCCATACACCGGGGGCACGTTGGGCCCAGGACCTAGAGACACAGAAAGGCAGGTCACCACCAGAACCACATCCTAGCACCCACGGGGCTACGCTGTGACCATGGGGGATCTGCTCTTTCCTATCTAGCTGTCCTTTAGCATTCAGAAGCAAACAACACCAGCCTTTCCAGAGCCAAAATTACCAGAGACCTCATCTTGGGGGGCACCACCCTCACAAACAGCAAGAACACCTAAGACCTCAAGCAAGCACCTTCACGGCTGCCTGCCTTCGGGACAGCATTAGGAAACCCAAGCACACCAACAGCCCATCATAACAGCAAAGGCTTCATCACGGCTGTGGTCCACCAAAAGCTAGATGCAGGCACAAAGCCATCATACAAAGCTTGCACGGAGATGCAGACACGGAGTCTGGACGAGGAATCTGGGGGTTCAGGTTCCCACTCAGAGGTGTAATTGCTTGTGCAGCTGCAGGGGCCAATGCTCCCGGCTCACACTAGCCAGCCACCGCAGGAGATGCTTCACTAATGCCTTGACTTGACAAGGCACAGTCTCAAAGTCACCCCTTCAGCCTCCCCCAGCCCGGTGCAAGGGCACGAGGAGCTCGCTGTGGCCTGGCCGGGCGAGACTGCTGTGATCAGAGAGCACCCGTTCCCCCCGGCGACACGGCTGCCCCGCGGCGGCCCACCTGCCCGCAGCCATCGGGCACACGGCCCCACTCGGACTGAGCCATCAAAAGCTGCCGCGTGCCAGTCTCCGGCAGGTGCTGAACCACAAACAAGCTCCCGACAGCACCGATGTGAAGCACACCTGCCACCAGAAAGGTGAGCCACAGCCACCGAGCACATGGCTCCAGGAAAGCTCTTGCACCTCGTTCAAAGCCCGTCTTTTGTTCCTAGTTTCTCCCTGCATTTTTTTTTTTAATTGTTGTTTTGCCCCTACCAAGCACCTTTCAACAAGTGCCCGGCTCCCAGCTGCTGCTGCTGGCCCTGCTCCAAGGCTGGGGCTGGGACAGGGAAGTCCTGCTGGCTTCCTGCCACCGTGGCGAGCATGGCCCAGGCTAAGAGCAGCCAACGGGCTCCTGCTCCTAATCCAGAGGGCAGCTGTCAACTGGGCTTTTCACCCCATGCAGGGAGCATGTGTGGGTGTGTGGGGAGAGGCATCGTGCTGGGCACCCCCTTCCTGAGCCCCTCAGGAGCTGTTGGCAGGACAGGCTGCAGGGACACTGCGGCCATCGTCATCATCTGCTGCCCGGCACGGGGCTGAGCCTTTGCTCGCTTTGTTCCACTGGAGTATTAACAATCTCATCTTGATGGCACTTCTGCTGGGAGGGGAAGATCTTCCCTTCACAGGCAGCCAGGGGTACAGGGGAAGCAGTGAGAAGGAGCTTGGACTTCTCCCTGCTGAGCCTTGCAGCTCAGGATCCAGGACTCAGGATCCTGAGTGTCTGGGCAGAGAGGCTGGGGGCAGGATAGACATGGACAGTGCTGGTGGGCTGTCTGAGGATGTGGGACAAGTATGTGGGAAAGAACCAGGTGAGAGCCTGGTTGGTGGATTGGGACACCGGGTGCCTGTGGCTCCTGGAGGGATTTGGCTGGGGGCAGCCTGGGCCAGCAGGAAGAATCCAGGCAGGATCATCTGATCTCTGCTGGACTCGCATCGCCCCCAGCACACGCTGCCCCAAAGCAGAGAAGCCACCGCTCTCCTCTCTTGAGGCGGCAGCAGGGGATGTGCCAAGGAGGGATGGGAAGAGATGGGAGCACAGGGATGGTGAGGCAGGGCAGGAACAGAGGACTCACGTTTCAGGAAGCGGTTTCGGACCCACTTGTTCTGCCTCCGGGCGTATCTCTTAGTCACCTGTTTCAGGGCCTGGATCCCTTTGGAATAGAGGGAGTAAAAAGTTAAAAAAAAAAAATAAAAACGAAAGGTCAGCGCAGCTGCAAGCTGAGCTCAGGGCAGAGCGAGAAGAGGCTGTCAGCTCCGGTGCGAGCAAATCACACCAGGCTAAAGTTTGTGGGTGCTCACTTAAGAGAAGCATTTCTACTGCCAGTCTCCGAGCCAGCCGTGCGACGTGGTTATCACGGCAAAGCAGCCAAGCCCTGCCAGAGCAGCGGCAGCGTGGAAGGGCTGGACAAGGTGTCCCAAATGCCCTTGAACGAACGTTGGGTGGAAAGGGCTCAAAACCCCAGCCCTGAAGCTTTTAGCAGGTAGGACAATCTGTTCAGGGGCTGCACTGGTCTCACAACCCCTAACTGGATACTCCTCTGTGCAAACGGAGCCCAGGACTCCTTGTCCTACCCGCAGTGGGCCCAGAGGATGGTTTACTCCTGTACAACCTTTCGGTATTTACTACCAGACTTATCATATCCCTCCGTGATCATCTCCTGAGCAGACACAACAAGCCCCTTCTGCATCAGACTTGTTTTCAAGTCTTTTATCATTTCTGTGGTTTCCTCAGCCTCCATCTCCACATTGATCCCTTCTCGACACAGACCAGCTCCGCCTGGGACCTCCGCTGTGCTGAGGAGCAGAGCAGCTCTCTCCTTTAAAAACAGCACATCAGTCCGGACATTCCAGAAGGAACCATGCCATCGAAGAGTGCATCACTATTGACTCATGCTGTGATCTGCTAGATCCCCAGATTCCTTCCCACCATCCTGCTGCTGAAAAAAATCATTCCTTTTTTCTAACCCTGTTCTCCACAGCATTCACATCCCAGCTGGGATCCCATCACCCAGTTCACTGGTAGACCAGCTCCAGATCCCAAATCATGCTGTGCTGCAAGAAGGCCTGGGGTAAAAGAGGGAGGAGTTGCTCTGAGTGTCCTCAGAGATGCTCTCCAAGCACTAATAAAAGAATCCCTGCCCCCCCAGGCTGGCAGACATGGAAAACGCAGACAGAAAGGTGCAGCTCAACTCCAACAAGAACTGCCCCAAGGTTTGAGCTTGGTTCAGACCACCACGCAGTGTCACCTGGAGCTGTGTGAGGCTGAGGGACATAGGGAACACAGGGTGTTTCTCCAACCTTTTTGCAGCAGCAGGGCACTGGTCTCAGGCGAGCAATTCCCCTCACTGATGAGGTACTCATGGAACTCCTTAAAGCCGATGGACTGGAAGATGCCATGCTGGTAATCCTGCCTGGAGAACAAGACAAGAGACAGGGGTCAAAGCAGTCTCCCTCAGAACAGCCCCATACCAGCTCAGATCCCTGTGGCTCGCCCTGCAGGACCCCCACAGGTGACAGAAGCCCATGGATTCAGGGGACAAGCCATCCCAGAAACACACAGGAAGGCAGACTGGTGCCTTCAGTGACAGCCCGTGTCAGCTTCGCTGTGTGAACACTCGGGCAGCACCAAGTAACTTTTAGTGAGGTGAAACGTCACCACTTGGCAGATACGGTCCAGGCAAAAATAATTCAACACTAAGACCCACAGTTTGACCAACCCTGGTCTAAGGGCTCTGGCAGGGAAGGCCAGGAAGTGCTGGAGGATCTGGCTGGTTCAGACCTCTCCGCTGATGGTGCCCCTGCAGAGGCAGGCACCCGTCCTGTCTGCTGACCCTGCTGCAGGAGCAGGCACTGCCAGGAAAGGGCTGGGAGCAGCAATACATCAGAGCTGCTTCAGGGAGAGTCGGTCTGGATCCTGCACAGCTCTGGCAGGTGGGACTGGGAGCAGAAAGGGAGCTGGCTGCTCACCCACCGGTTCTCAGCCACCTTCTCTTGGTTGTAGCGTCGGTGGAAGTCCCGCAGCTCCTCCAGCCCTGCTGCAGGAGCAGGCACTGCCAGGAAAGGGCTGGGAGCAGCAATACATCAGAGCTGCTTCAGGGAGAGTCGGTCTGGATCCTGCACAGCTCTGGCAGGTGGGACTGGGAGCAGAAAGGGAGCTGGCTGCTCACCCACCGGTTCTCAGCCACCTTCTCTTGGTTGTAGCGTCGGTGGAAGTCCCGCAGCTCCTCCAGCAGTCCTGCAGCCAGCATGTCATCCACCCGCTTCTCCAGCCGCTGGTCCAGAGCTGGGAGGAGGAGAGCAGGACACGCTCAGCCACTCAGAGCCATGCCCTCGGCAGGCCCACAGCTGGACAACGTGCCAGGGACATGGTTCGGCACTGCCAGCCTCTCGATCCATCAAGGAAGGCAGAGCCCAGCAGGCGAGAGGAACGAGCCCACTCTCACACCCACTGATGCCAAAGAATCGCTGCTTGTGCAGGGAGGAGGCTGGGGCAGGAGCAGGGAGTTGGCACTAATCCTGTATCACCTTCCTCAGCCAGCCAGGAGCCCATTCTCACCTGCCTGGTCGGCACGGAGCCACAAGATGCATGGATGTGGGTATTTCAGAGGCCCTCCTAAGGGCCCCCCACCTTCCTCCTCCTGCTGCTGGTGCAAGATTTCACTATGGGGGATCCCCGTCTCTTCAAACACTTGGAGGCTCCTGTAAGCAGAGACAGACAGAGCTCAGAGGCTGGGTGAGGATGAGCTTTTCCATTTCCCCGGCAGCCCCGGGGGCTCCAGCAAAGGGAACCGCAGACACTCGCTGTGATCCAACCCTCTCATGTGGGGGGAGGGCAGGTTTCTGCCCCCTCCCGTGCCCGGCATCCCAAGCACACCCAGGTCCTGAGGGTGCAACGCAGTGCAGAGCACAGCGGTGGCACCCAAGGAGCCCAGAGCACAGCCACCCACTCCTGCCTGGCACCGGGACAAGCCCTGCAGGGGCCAGAGTTCTGGCTCCAGCCCTGCCATTTCCAGCCAGGCAGGGATGCAGGGAAGGGGCCAACGTGTCCGATGCTGCGAAGCATTACCGCCAGCTCAGCCCAGCCCTGCCGGGGAGGTGGAGGAAGCTGCACTGGGTGCCCAACCCTCCGTCCCCCTGCACCGTGCGAATGGGGTGGGCGGCGTTCTGCTCCCCCCGGGCCAGGGCTCGGCTGGGACAAGGCAGCAAGCCTGGTCTTGCCGCCGTGCCGTTCCCACAGAGCTCAGGTATGTTACTCAGCCAGCACGGCAGCTTGCTCTTTAAATAGCTCCAGATAAATCCTGCTGCTGGGGCACCGCAGCGGGAGCAGCCCCAGTGCACACAAGCCAGGAGCAACGCGCTGTCCTGGACCCCAAAGGCAGTTCAAGCCGGGGGCTGCATAGCCAAAGGTCTCGGATCCCAGAGAGCTCCCCAACACCAGCGCTTCAAGGTCCCCAAGCACCTCGCTAAGAGGCCAGGAGCGCCCGCCTGGAATGGGAGAGCTCATCTTGCCGTGTTCCCAGGCACACGATTCCCTCAGGAAGGGATGCTGAGCCCTGGCGCTCCCTGCCCCCAGCACACCAAGCTCACCTGGCCACTTTGCGCTTGTCGTGGGGGTGCAGCTTGGCCGCCATCTCTGGGTCCACCTGGCTCAGACGGCGATGGAGCTCGACACCATCCAGCTGCTCCAGCTCCACTTTCCTGTCGGTGACCGGCCCGGGGGCTGTGCTGGCCTTCTCCTGTGGAGCACAAGGCAGCCCTGACTCAAGGTACTCATCCATGTGCAAGGCCAGCACAAGCAAGATGATCCCCCAGCCCCACAGGGTGAATGAGGAGCTTCTGGGTCTCCTTGCCCTGCTATAGCAGGGGGAGCACCGTGCTCGGTCGCAGGATGCCTGCCCTGAACATGGGGCTCACCCTTTCCCAGAGCGATACGCAGCCCCACAATGGTACCTTGGTGTTGATAAGGACTTTCCAGAGCAGGGACTCGATGTAGTAGTTGGTTCCTCCCACAATGATTGGGATCTTGTCTCGGGCAAAGATATCTTCAATGTGCCACAGTCAGGGAGCATAAGCGGAGACACACGGCAGGGAGGGCTGTGGGGAGCGGCAGCCCAAGGCTCAGACCCCCTCTCTGCCAGCCCAAGGGAGCCATGAGGCTGCAGGTGAGGGTTATAGGTGTCCCTCACCTCTCACTGTCCTCTGCTACCTGTGCCAGCTACCACTAAAACTCAGGGACACCCAGGGAGGGCAATACCCAGCTCAGCACTGTTGCAGTGCCGCAGAGATCTTCCCCAGCCAGCCCCAAGGAGCTGCCCTGAGCATTAGCTGGGAAAAAGAAGCTCCAAGCCCTCTTTGCCAGCAAGAACCTCTGAAAAGCGGAGTTAGTTGCAATGTGGAGAGCTCAAGGCTGATGCAAACACTGCTCTCTCTTGCAGGCCTGGCTGCGGAGGGGGCAAGTCCGTAGCTGCTCAGCCAGGCAGGCTGCAGCGCGAAAGGATATCAGACCCACGGCTTTGTCTCTGAAATCCACCACCGTGTAGTTGGAGACAAGGGGGTCCACAAAGCTGATCATGTGGTGTCTGCACAGACGCTGCTCCTGGGCAGAAACTTTGTTCGTGATGATGTCCAAGCCCTTGTACACCTGGGGAAGAGAAGAGCCCATCGTTCACCCCTGCGTCCCATGAAAGCCCCATGGACCACCCCTCCTCGCTCCGGGCACAGCTGCTGCCTGCCCCTGTCACCCCTCCAAGCCCCTGGCTGGTCTCTGGAGAAGCAGGAG